GGACTTTTATTTAGATAATTTAAAGGCGAATCACTCTTTCATACCTATTTTTTAGGTATCCCAAACCGTTTTCCCAAACCGTTTTCGCAGCGTACGCATCTCAAAAGCCAAAGAGATGAAAAACTTATTCCGTTTTGTTCACATTTCCAGCTGTATCTTCTTCTTCTCTTCTATTAGTCACAGAACGGTGTTTTATAGCTTATAGACTTCCTCGATACATGACCTAACTAACACAAAAAGAATTCAAACTCGTAGTTCCTGAGACTAACGCTTTCAAACAAACAAACAAACTCTTCAGCTTTATATATTAGTATAGATTTATATTTTGCCATTTCATACTAATCTGTCGTTTGCGCATTAAAAACGAATCACTAGACCGCCATTAAATACTCGATTTTTAAATCTCCAAGTATAAAAGATTTTTTTAGTCAAAGTGGAATAATAAAGTAGTAAATAAAATAACTGTTAGGGTTCAAACGAACACAAAGCGTGGAAATAAAAGCACCCTACCTCAATAGGCCGACGAAAGCCCAACACTGATTTAATGACATAGTACAGCACACTTATAGCTTTACACGACATTCCATCCTGCGGTGCAGATCGATTATAACAGTCGGCCTGACTACATCAAATACAAATACAAATTCTTTATTCACCAAGACTGTGTACATTTCATTATAGGGTGTGCTAGCCCCTACACTAGGATGCCCTGTGTCGTGGGCGGCTAGACTTTTCTGGTGCATTTCGAAAAGAACAGTGAAAATCTTAGTAGCTACTTACAAAGTTATTATAAGCTAAATTTTTAAATGATAAAAAGTAAACTTACAAATATGGAAAACATTTTTTGTTAAGCAATTACATTAATACAGTTTTCTGTTTGAATATAATTTAATTTTAGAAGAAACACTTTAATTCTATTTAATTGGGTATAAAAAGAAGTAAGTGGGCTGATTATATCTTTATTAATAATTAAATTAAGGAGGAAGGGATCTTTAAAGGTAAAAAAATGTTGGGCAAAATAAATGTGTACTACTCGCGTAAACTATAGACAGTATTCAAAAGAAGTGTGTTTGAGCGGAGTGTAAAAATGAACTTTTCGTTGTGTTGAAGATGTTTGTTCAGATTTTTAGATTGTAAGTGCGTTTTGAGTTGGCGACGACAACTTGATATAATATACAATTGCCTGACTGTCAGGAGTATGCTTTTTTGTATAATTTTGAAGTTGGATGCCGAAACGGTTGTCTAAGGGAAATTTTTAGGATGGCCGCTGTGTCGGTTCTATTTTGAGCATAAGAACGCATACCGCACCTCCCCACGTGGAAATGCAATAAGATAACACAGATTGGCATAACGCTATGTATACTGTCCTAATAGTATTAGGATCTGCCGACTTACTGAGGCGTTTAAAGGCGTTTGAAAGTTTTCGAACACGGGCGCATAAATAAGTAATGTAAGGACCCATATTCAATAAAATCAGTCCTCTATAGGGTTGGACATTGGCAGGTTGAAAGGGGGTTAAGACAAGAAGGGATTGGTTTTGGGGCGGTTGCCCTAGAAATGTTAAAGTCATTGAGAAAAACGGGCGAGCCCCGTTTGGGCAACGAGAGCGGTTTATCCCAGGAACGTAAGTAAAAAATAATTGCTGTGTCGTCAGCGAAGGAGAATAACTTGGCGTTAGATAGCTTCAGTGTGCATAAGTCGTTAAGAAGATTAGATTAAGAATAGAGAACTGCTGATGGCATTGCCCAGTGGCAAGCCGTAGGAGAATACATTTTCAAGGCTTTTTAAGTCATCTCTTCTGACTTTTTGTTTTTTGTTGGATAGGTAAGATTGGATCCAATTTAAGACGTTGCCACGAATTCCTAATCTTTTCATTTTTTCCAACAGCATTCGTCTGGAGATAGTGGCAAAAGCTTTCGCTACATCTAGGAAAACACCAACACACCTTTGACCTTTGTCCAATTTTGAGCTAACAGTGTCGACTACAGCAGAAGTTGCGTCCTCTGTCGATTTGTTATGCCTAAAGTTAAATTGGTTATTAGCTCGAATGCCTTCCTTTTCCAGATAATTGTCTTGTATTGACAACTAACTTTCTCTACATGCTTAGACGAAGATCTTATTTTGTTTTGATAATTTTTATAACAAGTAGATCAAAGCTTAGCCGTTTATGTAATCAGTCACATGTCTTAAGGCAGTACGATATTGTACATGTCATTATTAATAAGCTATTTTGTGTACAAATATTTCGCGATGGAAAAATAAATCCAGCCGTTCCCATCTAAAATGGGAGGTCAAAAATTTTATAATGCCCAGTATTTCATTGTGTGCGACTTGTACAGTGTGGATCGCGGCGTAGCCTTCCGTCAAAGCGCATTTAGCATATGGCGCAATGTGAATTAAAAGACAATAATCACGTTGAGAGCAGCCGCCGAGCCGAGCGTAGTTTTTTAACGCGCGCAAGCTGTAAGTCGTAGCGATTTCCATTTATTCGGTTTTACATTTTTTCGTGCTTATGGAATTTATCGACACTCAATAATTTTATTGGACTATTATAGTTCTCAAGTGCTAAAACATAAATAATCCTTGATTTAATATAAACCAAATAGCATTTTTCTCTTGACTTGAATCAGGAAGCTATACGCGAGGGCATCATATGATATATTACACCACCCTCGTTCGCAGCCGTCACGCCGTAGCTACGGTGGGACGTCTGGCTTTTTATACATTAACCCGACACTCGCATGTAGAATTGAAACGTGTCATTCGTCCGGGGTACAAATCTGACTTCACTTAATAAATAACATCGTTCGCTTGTGGTCCCGGATTCTATTCGATCGATACGATCATCTATTTTTCGACTATAGCAAACATAAATATATTAAATATTGGTATTTAGCACTAATACAAAATAAGCCTTCGATTGGCCGAAGAGAGGGAAACGAAGCCATGGAACGCCCTGGAAGGAGTCATTGACTGTCGGATTCCACTAACATGGGCGTCCAATGAGCACTCCGCGCGCTTTTAACTTTCCATCCATAATTATACGTCCTCCATTTGAAAATGTAATAAGGTTATCGGTAAAGTTTACCTCAAAAGGGTTAGAGTAGTTTAATTGTTAGTGCGCCGGGCGCTGCGCGTGCGCGGCAGCCACGGAGCGCTAATCCGGCGATTTTCCGCCGAAATTGGTCGCCGTTTTGCAGAGATTGAAACGGCCGTGGATAGCGATCGGTACGATGCGTTATGTAAATGCGACCACTTCATTTGCGGACCGCACTCCGCGTATGCGACAATTATTTCTCACCGGATCGATGTAGCGCCCGAAGCCCCGACCGCCATGAAATAACAATTGAAGTAGATCAAAAGATACGGGACCTATATTAACATCTTCGGCCAAGTCTAAAATTCACAAAGCCAATTTATTGTAAAGTAAGTTGTATATAAATATAATAAGTAATGCGAGGAGATTCCACTAGTATTAAAATAATACAAGTGGTATATAGAGGTGTGCCCGATATATGTTTCCCGAGTTTCATTTGTTCAAGAGAAATAAGGAGTCTCCAAACCGTAAATATTGTATTATTGGTATAAAGAAAATTAATTATTTGTACTTCACTTTGTTGGTCTTGTAGTATACAAATTTACATATATTGTTCAATGAATTAAAGAAGTAAAGTTTAAAGAATTCACTCTCTCTCTCACCTGGAGGGTTTGTCGATGAAGGCAAACGGAGTAACCGACGCTTAGATTGCGTGTTCACAGAGGTATTTATATTTGTAATAAGTACTATTATATTTCCGTTCCCTCGCCGTTTCGTGAAACTAATTAGCGTCACTAATTTGTAACTTGAGTTAGTTGAGACTTCGGAGGTCCAAATCGCATTAGGACATCTTACAAGTTGCGTCCAAACCGCAAACCGACTACAAAGCTTCCTCTGATTAAGGACAAAATACCACACTCTGATATTCGAACCGAACTGAAAAACGTAGGCCCAGCAGCGGGGTATTTAAGGGCGAGTAAAGTATCTTCAGCTTCGCTTTTGTATAATGCGAAATAAATAATGTTTTGTGAGACGATATCTGTACGGTGTATGCGCCCCTTTGAATGACAGACGCCCGTCTTTTGACGTCCTAATGAGACTTACATTAGACAGAAAAGCGAAAATAGCACCGCGAATGTGTATCGCTCGCAAACCTTACGTGAATATTATTCGATAAAAAGGAGCATGTTTTTGCAAAATGTCTCAGACCAATGTAATGTCCGACATCCGGGCCTTGTGTCCTCGTGTCCCCGCTGTCTCTCGTCAGTGCGCTCTGCGTCGTTACCGCAAACGACCTCAATGCAAACGGACCACACTACTTTATGCTCTCGCCTCTAAGCATCCTTTTGACAGAAGTACTATTAATACCACTATATGCTAGTAAGAGTAGTACTAGTAGTAGAAAGCAGAAGCTAGATCACTATGCTGGTCGTCGATGATGACGATATGTTTGTTCCAAAAGAATAAACCGCAAGTGTATAAAAAATAAGAGTTCTTTTTATTCTTTTATTTTCGAAAAAAGTACAAAGCGAGAACATAAACAAGACGCTTGTCTTTTAGCAGACTACGCGAAACGCTTTAGAGGCCCATAACTCTCCTCTTTGAAAAGTAAACAGCGACGGGCGTAAATCTGCTTCGATTTCTATCGGATCCGAAAGCAACCCCGACAGATGGGTTGCGCGGTGCCGGCGTCGACTGACACTATAAATACTATCAGCCGTGAATTTCTACCTACCGACTTCTTTTACGCCTGCTTCCATTCTGTTTAACGGCATTCGATATTTAAGTCAGCGTTGACGGCGATCGTTTGTTCGGTAGAAGCCCTAACCTTAATATTTCTGAGCGGAATTTGAGAATCGTTTCGAAAACACTTAACAATAATGTACGTCAAGATCTTTCGCCTTGTAAATAGTCTCGGCATCTTTCACTTAAAACCGACTTCTACCTGTTAACTTTCCGATTATCATTTGTTGGGCCAGAGGTCAGGACGAGAGGCAGGTGGCAGGCACGAGTCGCGAGCGAGGAGCACGTGCCGCATGTTATCGAGGATCATTTGATTTTCTCGCAGCTCAACGGTTATGTGGAAACGTGATTGTTCTTTCATGGGCAGGCTGCCTCGCGATCTATAGTGAGCGAAGAACAAATGCACGTTAAGTTTGAACAATAAGGAGATAAAAATTAGTTTGGAAAAGGCTCTCCATTTTGGTAATAGGCCGAGACAAAGTATCGGCAATGCTTATACATAATTGATTTCCCTTTAGATTTTCGGTCGAAAACCAATAGGCGAAAAGCGATCCCGCGGATAATACTTGTAATAAAGAAAAATAAGTGAAAACTCGTTCCAATAGTGAGAGGCCATTACGAAAAATGATAAAAGAAAGATGATAAAACTGAGCACACCCCGCGGAGCCCTAACGGCTCGTCTATATTTTAAGAAATGCTTTTGAAATATTGAGCTGATTACCTCACTCGTAAGTCTACTCCTGTTATAATATTCCTAAATATAAAAAAATGGCCCATGACACATTTCGCTAATGCGCTTTCGGCAATACAGTGTTTCATAAGCAAAGCTTAAGACGACATAATACGTCCGATCATAATTCAGTCTTCTACCAAAAACTAGTAATTCGTAAAACATTGTCTCCGTATTGGTTCCTTCGATATTCAGAAATTTTAGATTACACCATTTCATACTAAATAAAAATCGTCTACAATCAAATGAAAAAAAAATAAAACATCCGTTTTGACACATTATTTGTAATAATATTATGTATTCATAATTACTCATTATATTCATGAGAAGTAAGTTTGTATTTATTTTCAGAAAGTGATGTAGATACTTTATTTAGTTGTAAAAAAGTTTATCTCCCGAGCGCGGGCGTTAGGAATTTAATGTCTCCCCAAAGAAACCGAGTTTCGGCTTTAAGACCTGTTTTATACCTCCTTTTCCATCTATGAGTGAAGTGTACGTTTACCTGCATCATCTGCTAATATTTGGCTCGTGTAAAAGATTGAAATCTTTACCTGCTTCCTCTTCCAGCAGTGAACTATCGAGAGGCCGACGGCGACGATTTATAGTATCTAATAATCCGAACCTAGAACTCATAAAATAAATGTCATGGACATTCGTTTTAAGCTTCGTTAATTATTCCTTCTATAAAACATATCTTAATGGGTTTCGTGCTCAGTAGATCGAAATGACTTCGGAAACTTAAGTTGACATTAATTGAATCGTTTTCTTTCAATTTCTTAGTAAATCAAGATGTTAAGAGATCGTGGTATTTCAATGCCTTACGAAAGAAAATGTGTATTTGAAAGGTGACCATTTTTAATATTTAATAATTTTTTATTAACAAGAAAAGTGCTTTCTTCCGTGGCACGCACCGTTTCGGTGTTCCAGGCGCGATGAGTCAAAGTAAAGTCTAAACTATATACTTAACGGCGCTTTGAAATAACGAAACCAAGAAAATTGACGCAAGACTCCATTGACAGTTGTAGGACGTATTTGAATAGGGTTCGGTTCATTTACGAGCCTAATCGAGAAGAAACTGAGATACCGTTTACCAAAGACTTGCTCCCTCCCATGGTTGAACAGCGCGAAAATAATCAGTTCTTTGAAAAGAAGAGACAAAGAGATAAATTAAATAAACTACTCCTTCCAAAATATCATCCGCACTGGAAAGAGTTACTTTTTTCAACCGTGCTTTGCAGTAATTTGAACCTAACCGCAAAATAAATGTTCCGTTTAAAGAGCGTAATTATCGAAGTAAAGGTTAGTCGGAAGCACAATTAGCTCTAACAGTTTAACGGTTAAATTAAAAACGCTTGTATGACAATTTAGAAGTTAGCCGCGTCGGGAAAATTAAACCCTGCGAGAGGTCAAGACTCTTACAGCTAATGGTGAGAACTTTTTCCATTCCGAACACATATTCGTGCAAAGGAAACTCGCCACTATACCGAGTGTGCGAGAGTCCAATTCTGCGAGAGACGGTCGCGTGATTACGGGAATACTTGCGTGTGGTTATTTAAAAAGAAACGTTTTCATTAGTTGTATTAGTTCATGAATTTTAGAAGTTTCCTCGCGTTAAGTGTGTAATAAACCCGAACGGGCAAAGTTGCATATGAAATACTTTTAGATTTTAAGTCGAAACAGTTCTTCTTTAGCAGCATAGTTACGCATTCTTTATAAACCTGCATATCACCAACAGGCAAGAACAGGCAAGTACTTGAAATTGAAGCCTTTTTTGTTTTTTGGTACTATCAAAAAGAGGCAAACGTAAATAAAAACATTATAACGGTAATCCTGCCTCGGAATAAACGGATCTTTGCAAAGGCTATTCGTCTAGCTGCAAACTCGGGTATAGTTATACATACAGTAAATAAATTGTATTCCATATTCAGCGATACTTTTTACAAACACGCGGTTGTGCCAAACGCTGCAGTTTAGAATTGCTATTTTATGTTCGCGCAAGTCAGCGGCTTAAGCGATTCATCTGTGTCGCGTACAAAGTACTAAGCTAATGTACTTTTATAGGAACTATTGGCAATCTTATGTATTATATTGAATCACTTCGATTTGCCAGGCTCGTCTTAATGCGGAAAGCCACACCCACACAGGTAACCACTTACGCCCGCTCGTTTGAAACTCTTGAGATCAGTAAAGGTGGCGGACGGTACTCTGCCGGCTGCCATCGTCGTCCCTCGTCCGCCCTCGACCCGCTAAGTCTGCGCACCCGTCGCTCGCGCCCGCGTCTCGGGCGCGTCTGTTCGCTCTCGGCCCCACCACAGCGGCATTCTTTTTCTCGTATATCCGCGAGCCTGCCAAGCTCTGTATCAACTCCATTTACCCCTTTTTGAGCCAAAAACGAATCGCAATAGAGACGCCCCCGCCTCTGCCGTTCCCAAATTGTCATGAATTAAATTATTTCAATGAGCTAAATAAACACGCTGACCTATTTTTTATCATTCAAACTATAAATAGCCCATAAAGAGCGATGAATCGCGGACTTCTCGATTCGTTCATTCGTTTTGAAGATCTTTTTAAAAGATCTGGGTAAAAGGAAGCCCTGATAAATTAATAACTCCATTAGAGAGCGCACTTTTTAATGGATAAATTACATTTTGAAGATGTCGGACGAGGCGAGTCAAAGACTATTGAAGCCGAGAATAGAGATTTTTAGTTCAGGTCTTGTGTCAAACATCCACCATATTATGCCAAATGCGATCTTGCGCGCAATAATTGATCCCACTCCTCGGGCAAACTAATTATTCCGCGCTCGGCCTCCACACAGAGATGGCGGTGAAATAAAGTGAGAGGTAAAGTTCTTCGAGTTATTGACACAATCTACCCTCGTTAATTAATTGTTTATCTTTACTCGAGTCCGTTCAGTTTCCTTCAAACTACCCTCCCGTTCATTAGTAATTTCATTTTAAGTGTTTATTTATTTTATCGATAAAGTCTCGGTTCAATTTTTAGTTACTCGCAGAACGTTATTGAAATTGTGCAAAGATTCACCTCTGGCGATCAGTGTTATGCAACTCAATGTTATTGTGTCTAACGACAGCAGGTGACGAAGCGTAAGTTGAACGTGTTTCGCGGTTTTATTTCAATCCACATCGCATGCTCCAAGAACGAAGAGTCATAAATTACCCGCTTTATTTATTTGCAACAGAAGAAAAATGTCTTATGAGCGCACACACGTGTATAGTTTTATCGTTTCAGCTTTTTTTCAGAAATAGATAATGTGTCGAGCGGACTTTTTATTTTCTCGCTACAAAAGATCGGTCGAAAAATGTAAGTATAATGAAAATCTTGGACGAAACATTGATTTTTAGATCAAGAAAATAGGAAGAAGTTTAAAGAGAGCGTCTATGTCGAGATAGCGATTTAATTAAAGCTAATAATGTATTTCCTTATAGCTAAGTGTAGTTTGTTGTAATGATTTAAATTAAAATAACTTTAAAGAAACAGCAATTACTAAAACTACTCTAAAAGGTAATAGTTAATTAATCACCACAAAGAAAGGTCGACTTCGCGCTTAGCTATTTAAGATTTACATTACGTAATTTGCACAAATGAAACACAAAATTTAAAGGCGGCGTATCGAGACGAAAGCGATTCTTAAGTAAATATAAATATCTAATACTAGAGATGGAAACACGCAGCCATCACAGATGACGAACAGTTAAGAGCGCAGCGATGACTTTCTTTAAGATCCGCTGTATATTCTAATTGAATACCTCGTTCGCGAGGCGGAGGCAGGAGCAGTGACGTAACCGCATTATGACGTCATAAGTCACGACAACGATTTTAATTCGCGCAGAGAGCGGACATAGATCACTCGCTGCAGCCTGAATCGAATTTTCTTCGCCTCCGAGAAATTCTCCAGAAATGTTTGTAATATGAGAGGGTAGTTTAATACATAAATTACGAATAAAAGGCGCCTCAAATCGCTCGCCTAGATATGAATTCGCGGCGGACTTTTTCGGGACGCTGGCGTCGCAAGGATGTTTTATACGCGCTGTATTTACACGGCAACGATCCGACGATGTTTCCCGGTGGAGTAAGGAGAATCTCTAAGGTTATTTTTACGCGAAATACATCGTACCTAATTGAATTTGTGAATCTGAGGCAGCGAGCGCTTTGTGCGACTCGAATGGAAGCTAGTCTGGCTTACCCGAATAAACATCCGTCTATTTAATTATGCCAAATTAAGGGTACGTTCTCGAATCCACCACTCTTATGTGGCGATGACTTTGATGGATGTGGTAAGGTCGTGAATTGCAACGGCGATGCGACAATTCTACTCGGCAGTACATTTACCATATTAACCATACGTTATAATGAAAACATATCTAAAAACTTTGTGTGCATAAATGTGAGTTGAAGTCCTGCCCGAGTCGTAATTTTATGTCGATATTTAATCATATTTATGCTTAATGCTTACGTCTTTATTGAATTGGTCTAATCTCCTCGCTGATAGGTCGACGGCTAGTTTTAAATTGTCTTCTGTTCTCGCTACTTCCTAGTTATTACTCATAACTATTTCGTTTACTACCGGAAGCCCTGACTACAGAGTAGATTGCTTAAAGAAGCATCCAATTTGTGCGTATGAATTTTAAACGAAACAAATTTCAATAACAAAACACTAGAGCGCGCTCTATGAATATTTAAAATCGCGGATCGCGAGTCGACTTAAAAATCTTACTCCGTTAACTCGCTAAATAATAAGTCTCTCCGTTGCTATGGACTAGATAACTATTTTTCATGCTTTATAAATTAAAAATAGTGTTTACTTTTAAAACTTAATGACCTTTTAAAATATGTGTGTAACACTTATAATAAAATGCAGCTTATTATGATTAAATAAAGGCCAACGCGTTACAATCACTGAACGGCTTGAAATCGCATTAAACCGACGGGGCTAAGTTAAAGCGCCGAATGCAAAGTCTAATATGCTCTTGTATTCCCCGGTATAACTGGGGCCGTAAAAGATAATAACGCGAGATAGGCATTGCCCGCCCCCACCGACCGATAACATTGTATACTTAACAACTTTTATACGACATATTAGATACGTTTATGGCGCGATCGCCTTCTTGCCTCGGCAGCTATGGTCTCTCTTATTCCGAAAAGAGCTGCCGGTTCCAGGTCGAACAGTGTCCATACAATTAATGTATTATTAGAAATAGATTGTTCGAGTAAAGAGGAGTGTTGGCGGATTGTCACGTTCGCAGTAAAAGTTGTTCAAGCGCAGATAGTTGGCAGGAACGGCGCGACACGAGGCCGACGTGACGCGGGCCCTAATATGGAATCTCGTCCCGTAATGACTTCGCGCTTAACACATCGCAATAGTCGGCGCTCGCGTTAAACGGGCCCAGGACTACAGTGAGCTGCCTGATAAAACTAATAAGTATTTATAGCTACGACAATTGGGCCGGACGAACCGACCGACGAAGCCACTCGGAGCGTGCAATTGTTTTAACATTACACAACGCATCGTAAATAAATTGTAATTCGGCGCGAAAACGACATTTCGATCAATTGAGCATCGGACGCGGCCCTCTCACATTTTCGCTCGGAAACAGAATCGCTCTGAGTGAATTGTGCGGTGAAAGAATAAATCGTTTTGCAACGTCAACATCGACGTGAAGAATGTATTTTGGTTTATTGAAATAAATTCATAAATTGTGTTTCCATGTTTATGAGGTTGTTCTCATGCACAAAAATTTAAGAAAAGAAGTTTCTTTTTTTCCGTCATGATCATAAATTGAGGCCGAACGATTATGTCTTATTAAGTCGCCGAATAATGAAGGAAATCACATTATTTATGACGTCTGCCTCAATTAACGTCTCCGCCGAAGTGTCTTCCAGAGTCTCATTAAACAGCAATAATTAATGAAGAATATTAATGAATTTAAGCAAATTTATGCGTAAGTTTTACAACGCGCCGCCAATTTTGATTAATGTAAAGCGAAGACATCTTTCGAATATCCGACTGTTTATTTTGCACAGCGCCGTCGTATTCAGATGGTTGAGGTTTTGCCTCTAAGAAGATAAAATAGTCCGCGACAGCGTATACCTGAATAGCTATAAAAATTATGACTGCGTGTTCAATTTAGCATTCCACATTATAATTAATTTCTCATTCGAAGCGCGAGCAAATTCGGGTTTACGTTCAAAACAATGCTGTGACCACAATGTTGTGGCCGAATTAATCCTTGTTCCACTACTTAAACAGTGTTGCACGTTATGTACTGTGTCCACACTTGCGACTGTTTGACGGATATTCACTATTAGTAGCGTTTCGTGTAAAATAGTCAAAAGATAAGTGGTAAAATATTTTTTTAGGCATCGTATGAAATTATAACAAACAACAATGGTGACTTGACGAGACAGACAGAAACGCTGATATAAGTTAGAACGGCGAAAGCCTTATTCGTTGCGTTTGTAAGATTATTCTGATAATTTAAGTTCTTTTGTTACACTAAGTTATGTTTTAATCTCAATTTGTCTCTAAAGTCATACAGATATTCTATAAATATTACAAAATTGTATTAAGACAAATGTAAATGTAACCGTTTAATTATTATAACTATATAACAACTTATTAACATGTGAAACCGAATTAGTACATTATAAATACAGTGTCCTGTTTAAGACATACAATTATAACTCATTTTGAATCATGTATTTTATGTAAAGCTTTTCTTTATAAATAAGGCGATTTAGTTACTGATAAAACGATTGTTCAACCAAATTTATAATTTTACTATTTAATTTTTGTATAAATGTATTATGTTAGTTTTACGTTGAAATGACGCAACATCAATATGGAATTGCATCATCCGATATGACGTCACTGGCCCCATATAATGGCGCCTAAATTGAGAAAAACCCTACACAGAAGCGAGATGCCATACCAAACGGACTTAAGTTAAGTGAGCCCTAGCTTGTCTTTAGTTTATGTGTCTGTTGTTATTTTCGCAATAATAAAAGTAAGTGTATATTTGTTTAACACTTATTGTATATAAATTAAAGGAATATTGTTTCAACCATATGGATGTCTTCTTATTTATGTATCAGTTTACAATTTTTAATTAAAAGAGTTTTATATACAAATTAAATTTGACATATATATAGCCGACCAACTACATTTATAATATTCAAATTTTAATGAATCTTTTACGTTCGTTAAAGCGTTGACACCCTGTTTCCGTCAATGAGATTAAAGCAAATCGTAGTTGGCAGTTTTTATAGCGCTGCGGCGAGATGTTAGACGAGTTTGAGTCTCCGAGACCTCGTGTTTCTTGTCTCTGTCTGTTTTCCTTCGGGGATTTAGTCGGGACGCAACTTCTTCAAAATTAATGCTCATTTAGATGTTCATCAAAGGAGTATCACATTATAGGCTGG